CCGGAGGTGCAGACCCCTCCCCTCGGCCCAGTTCGCCTGGCGGCAACAGGCGTCACGTCGGTGAGAAAACATGAGCCGAGATTTCAAACCCGGAGACTTGATCTTTGCCAAGATGAAAGGTTATCCCCATTGGCCAGCCAGGGTAAGGCACCCCCTCCTCCCCTGCAGGCTGCAACGCCCTCCTGCTCTGAACCTGTCCCCCTCCGCCTCTCCCGGCCTCCTCTCCTGCTGTTGTAGCTTTGTGTTGTTAGAAGTACTTTCAAACACCTGTGGAGAGCCATGCGGTTAAACCGTATTGCGGCTTCAGCCCCTGCCGTGTGAGGGAGGGTACCGTGCTGCTCCCGTGTTTGGAAGCGACTTCTGAATCACATTGCAGGTTCTGCGCTCCGGTTTGCTGTTGCCTTATGCTTCGCTGTAAGTCCCTTCTCCTGTAACAAGTACCCCTCTACAGTAGTCGTTAGTTGTCTTAATTTGCATAACTTAGCTTTTAGAAATGAAGACTGCTGTATCGTGGCACGACACTGAAGCTGTGCACCCAACTGTACAAAAATACTGTTCCCAAATAACTGATCTTTTTTCACCAAAGAAAAGCACAAAGTTATGGCCAGGTTACTCTTTACTTCTAAAGTCAGCTCTTCCTACAGTGCTTCCTGTAGAATAAGCCAAGCGCATGTGATAAGGTGTCCAGTCCTTTTTGGCTTTCTCCTTCCTCCCTTGGAAGCCACATGGCAAGTTCTGTGACTGCTGTAGGTCATTTGACAGTTGTGAGGATGTAGATAAAAGACTAATTATGAGATATTTAGCCAAAACGCTGGCTTAAGAATAATTTTTTAGAAAGTTTATTGACATTTCATTTTTGTAGCACTTGACATTTGAGCTTGGGCAAGTCATCAGTTCAGTGTAAGGGTAGGAAGTCTTGCTATTGCTTGTGCTGAAGGAGGGGTGGTATTTGGATGGAATTGAATTGTGCTTGTTACCTGTAGCACATCATGTCTCTTCTTTTAAAGAAAATGGTCATGTGCAAAGTGTTGCTTAGCACAAGAAGTGTTGTCATTTCCTCTTGTTGCTAATACTGTCTTTGATTCTGCTGTATTTTGTAACATACAGTTGAAAAGAGATCTTGAGACCTGCCTTACTTCTCTGTAGCTTTGTTTTTCTTTTTGAATGCTTAACACTTATTTGTTTTCCCCTAGACTGCTCGTAACTGTTGCTTGACTTGAATTATAGTCTGTCTTTTCCTTAGGTGGATGAAGTTCCTGATGGAGCAGTAAAGCCTCCTACGAATAAAATGCCTATTTTCTTTTTTGGCACTCATGAGACGTAAGTCCTTTATATTTAAAGGTTGTATTTTTTTCATCATAGAATGCAGTGACAACAAGTTAACTGTCTAAATTTAGCGTATTTTAAACTAGTACTATTCAGTAGCAGACCAGCTCTTTCTAAATTAATCTCTTTTGACAAGACATGCTTCTCTAACATTTGCTTAAGTTATTCAAGGGAATGGCAGACCATAACCATACCATGTACACTTCCCTTGTCAGAAGAAAAAAAAATCGCACCCACAGTGATATGACTGATAAGTTTGGGTTTTTTTCTTCAGTAGTGGACTTTAATTGTGGTCCTGTATATCCTCAAAATTCTTAACAATATATTCTCAAAGAAAGTGAAATAAAGCTGAGAACAATAAAATAGCAAGAGTTGACAAACAGACAAATAATCATGTATTAGGTTTTGTTTTTTGTGGGGTTTTTTTCTGTAGAGGTTTGGGATTGTGGGTGTTGGGTGGGTTTTTTTTTTTTCTAGAGAGAAAAATGAGGAAGTGCAGTTAGCTTTATACCTGTCAACTTGCAAAGTATTTATCTTTGGGTACTTTCAGCAGTGCTAGCATTTTGCAGTCATATGACGTTTGCTTTGAGGGACTCTTTCTTCCACCGCTAAATTTGGTTTTAAATATGCAGGAGTTTATGCAGTTCTGTCCTTTTGAAAATTATCCTGTTACTTTATAGCGTGACTGGTTGTCCTAGTGTAGATTTGTAAGACTTCAAATTTAGTGCTACATTTGTTGTCTGATCTGTTTTTTAAAAAAAAACCAAACACAACGGAACAAAAAAACCAAAACCAAACCAACCCAAAACCTATAATAGTGTGGTTTTAATTCTGCTGGTTTTCTTAATAAAATGGCAAATGGTATGTAAGCAGGTCAGAGATAGAAGTTGTACTCTGCTTCTTGCATTTTGTGGAAAGGCCTTGCTTTTTTTCTTCATCTTATGAAATATCTATTGAAATTGCTTTAATGTGCTACTTCGCATTTATCGTTTCGTAAGCCATGCTAAGACAAGATACATTGCCCTGTTGAATTAAAGAGTAAGCATCCTCTACTTTCTCTGACATTACTTGTTACTTGGTTCTTTTTTCAAGAAGTGATTTCCGTGTGAAAAAGATTTCTATATGCTTGGCTCATACACCCATGCATTTCTTTAACTGTTCACATCTATCAATAGGTCTTTCAATGGCTCAGGTTTTTTTGTGGGTTTTTTTTTTTTTTTTGGTGTGTGTGTGTATGTAGTTTTGTGGGTAAAGAGGGGTTCCTGGAATTTGAATCAAGGTTGTGAGGTCTGAATCTTGTCCATTTTTGTGATGATAATTTTAAACAATGCAACAGGTTACCTTTTTTCTTAGTTTTTTTCCCCGGCTGAATGTTTTCTTGACACAGTATTGCTTTCATCCTGCCCTTGATAATGTGTGTGTCATGATTGTACTGGGGTTTTGTGCAGCTGTAAGTAAGTTCAGGGACACAGATATAAGTGAGACAGAAATGACTCCTTACCTAAAGCTTTGAAAACACTTTTGCAGATTTTCAGAAGCATCACGGCCAATTTTAAATTTAGCTTAGACTCCTAAGACGTGCTTGATTTTGAAAGGTTGGTTTGGTTATTTTTTTAGTTTACATGGGTGAATTTGAAATGTCTGTTTCTCACTTTTTGATATTATTACAAAATAAAGTTTTACTGCAATCTCGTTTTTGTTAGGCTGTAAGTTCAGCGTTAATACATTTCAGAGATCTCTACAGTGCAAGAGAAACTTATTGTCTCTTTCATACATGTTGCAAAGTACGTGGTATTCCATGACCTAGCTGTCTCTTTAAGCATGTCACTTACCTTGTGCTCCTTAGAGTGATAACAAGTGAAACTCCAATGCTTCTTCATCTTACTTACTGTTGCTTACAGCAAATACCTGTAAGTAACAATACGAAGGAGCAGATCAAGTGAAAAAGGAAAATGCTGTTCCATGGCATGTAATTTTGTTTAGGTTTGTAGCTGTAAATACTGACATAGTGATCCACCAGGAATTAGGTACAGCTAACTATTTTCTGTACTTTTTCATGGGAATTAAAATAAGTTTGGTAAACTCGTTCTCCACTGTGCATCTCAGAGTTACACATCTGTGCAAAGTTAGACACTATGCACCTTCAGCATGTTAATACTCTGTACGTGTACAGCCTACCTTACTGTAAGTAGTGGCAACTCTGAAAATCCAGATAACAAGTTTAGTTGTGCGAAAAAGCCATTCTGTACAAAGGATTGTGTTTTCTAGCTGCGTGGATGGTTACAGTAGGGAAATAGGAGCTATGGGGGGAAAAAGCAAAAACACAACTGGCTTGGAAATAATTCTTATTTGACTTTTAGTAATAATAGTAATTCAGTTTTGCAGATTACTGTAAACAATTATAAACTTTGATTACTGTTGTTGATTTTCTCTAAGTTTTGTCAAAACACAACTAAGTGTGTTGCTGCCTGTGTGCAGTGAACAGATACATGCTTCTTAAAATAAGCTCTGGGAATTTGGTAATGTTTGTTGTGTTTATTTCCATACTATCTTAATGCAGCAACAGTACCGCTTCCCAAAAGAGTAATAAAATGGATACTATTTTAATAAAAGCTCTATTTGGATCTGTTGTGCCAGTAAATCATATCAGTGCAGACAAACAGAAGGTTGCGCTGAACTCTAGTTTCTGGACGCTGTATTTTGGGGTGATCACTCCCAATTTGATATTGTTTTGTTTTGTTCCTTTTTGGTGCATGGGGGTTTAACTACAGCAACCAGTAAGCTACATTACTTTTTCACAGTAGCTGTTTCTGGTGTTTTTCAAGGCCTGAGCAGTATGGGTAGAGGCTGACAGACCCTGGAAAAATGCTTCCTTTCAGGGGATAGGGAAGAAGGGAGGCAATGTTTCCAATTTTTGTCTTCTGGTTTCTGTTTGTCTCCCTCCCCATCGTTTCAGTCTGGTTAAGTAGGATTTGACAGGTGCATGTTTCCCATGCTTGCTGGATCCTCTCTAACCATTTCTTGCAAAGAGATGGGTAATTTGCAGTCTAATCTGTCACAGTGGCTTACTTAGTAGTTTGTACACATAGATGAGTGTTTTACTGCTGGAGTAGGAAGTGCTTAAGCTTTCTAGATGATTTATGTGCGTTGGGTTTTGTTTGGTTTGTTTTTTTTTTTTGTTTAGTGGGGTGTAAGTCTCAAGTAGGTCTTTTTTAAAGATGATGAAGAAAATAGGAGAGAGGAGCTTACTTCCATGAGCCAATACTTTCGAAAGCAAGTATCTGCAACTTTTCAAATAGTTGGATCTAACATAGACAATCAGACAAAACTGTGTGTGGGGACAGAGTGAAAATAAGAATGTGCCACCAAAGTCTTGTCTTTTTCTATTAGCAGCATATGCATTGCTACAGTGAAATGCTAACTTTGAAAGGTCATGAAAGTAGAGCTGGAATTAAAGAGTCTTTGATATTCTTCAGCATAAACCAGAATATTGGTTCTCAGTAATATGGTACCTTATTTTCCCAAGTCTGACTTAAAAGAAGCTAGTAGTGTGGATACTGTGACTTTGACATATGAGAAAACTAAAGCTTTCAGCCTAGTAGTTTACACAGCTTACGGTGGTAGGGTTAGTGCTATGAAGGAATGTTGGTTGGTTGTCTGACAAGTTTAAAGTTTTTCTTGGTTAAGTTTGGTAAATCAAGTTATGAGGTCCTGTTGTCACACACTGAAAAACTACTAAATTAATGCTGGATTATTCTTACAAAGACATGGGCAATCAGTGTATTCAAGTGTTGCTTTTTTGTGTATTCACTAAAAATTAATCTTAAATTTTGTATTTTAATTGGATTATTTTTAAATTAAGAACTTTGTTAGCTTGGAACCATTTCTTCTCCTTTAAATTGTTTTCTTGCCTTACACAGTCCGAATTCAAGGATTCTTTCTTCTTAACATTTAAGCTTGAATTTATTTATTTTTTTTTCCCCCTAAGGAAGCATTTGCTCCTTTGGTTTGTTTGCAAGCTACTTGTTTTTTAACTGTTCTGATTCACAGTAGTTGATTGTCCAATCAGCTGCAATCTTACGATGCAGCATCAACTGTTTCTTGCCCAGACACTCAACACCCTAGTAAGGAGGGTGTCTGTATGTGTGGTGCTAGTAGTGGAAGACTTGGGCTGTTGAAGGCAAAAGTTGAGAAAACTAGGCACTTACATAAAAATAGTTCTTGCAGTGGTAATTAATTTCATAACTTAATAACATTTGGTGCTTACTTCTCAAAGAAGACTAACCATTTAAAATGTGAAATTTTGTTCTTTCTCTCCTTAAGGGCATTCTTGGGACCAAAGGACATATTCCCTTACTCTGAAAATAAAGATAAATATGGCAAACCAAATAAAAGAAAGGGTTTTAATGAAGGATTGTGGGAAATCGATAACAATCCCAAAGTGAAGTTCTCTCATCAACAGGTAAGTGATGTGGAGTTTGCAAATCTTTGTTGCTGTACTGTTAGGAGAAAAAAAGGCAATGAGTTTTTCCCTGCTGTAAAGAATTATTGCTGTTGTTCAGCTGCAGGTTAGAATGATTTTTTTTTTTAAATTGATATCTATTATTAATAGCATAAAAGACATGGGGGTGTTGGTTAACTAGGTATACCTCTTTATTATAGTAAGCTTACAAGGGATCATGTTTGCAGTTTTGGAGCACAAGGCTAAAAGTTTAACACTTTTTACAGTACACATCATTTTACTTATATAGCTATATATACTTACTTAGTTATAGCTATGTATATTCGTAAGATACTTTGGAATTGTACAACTGTACTTCAGAAGTGGTAGTCTTTTGGAATCTCAGTCACTCTGCTTCTTTTTGTCCTATAAACCTGAGTACTCTTCTCCACAAGTCTCCTTGCAAGATTTCAGTACATGCTTTCTTAGCATACAGCATTTTTCTTCTAGCGGTTGGAAGTAATGTGATACTTGCCTTTTGCCCCCAAACTGTCATGTAACTTGTTTGATTCAGTTTTTGTCCATCAGTAATTCTTCGTTTCTTGCCCCTTGGTAAATCTTCCAAGCTTAAACTGGAGCTATGCAATGCTACCCATAAAAAGACCCAAATTTAATCTGAAGACAAATTGTCGTGCTCATTTAGTATTTGCCTACCTGCCCTGAACATTCTGTAGCTTCTTGGTTTTACTGTCTACACTGGACACTGATCGCATACTAGGTCTTCAAGGCAATGCTGCAGTAATAATAAAAAGACTTGGTATCTTTTGGCATTATTTGCTACTCTTACATGGCACTCCCGATTGCCATTTCAGCACCAGTTAACCCCTGCTTCATAAAATATCCTAACTTACTGTGTTTCTAGTTCGTAGGAGAACGTGGATAAAGAGTTAAGGAGTTTGTGAAGTAGAGATAAGATGATGTACTCCAGTTGTACACTTTTTCTGCTCTGGGATATGGAAGGATACTAATCCTCTAATCATAATGGGAAGGACTGTATTAATAAGAGACAGGATCTTTCCGCTGCTGTAAAATATGAGTCTGTATACCTTGTTGCTGCTTTCTTTGTGACAGTTTAGGAGAGATGCTCTGTGGTGGCTGAGGCAGTTATGAACCATAACTGAGTTCTGTGTTACCAGTTATTCTAATAAGGTGAAAATCTGGGTATAAACGATCGACAGTAACAAGCTTGTCTAATATTTTGTTTCACAGCAGGGGTCAGTAACTTCAATTGAGCAGTGCTCTGAGTTGCTTTCATAGCATCTCATACATTCCTAAATACATTTCCAATTGGTTATAGACAAAACATGCTGCCAAGAGAAACATACAAATTGTTTTCTTAGTCTTGCAGTTTTTCTGCAAGGTAGTCCTTTCCACATTTTGGGTTCCATTCAGATACTTCAACTTTGGTGATAGCTCTTTCACAGGGTCTTTTTGTGAACCGTTCAGGTTCTGTCTACAGCTTTTAGGTTGGCTTTTGCCATTTTTTTTCCCCACTATTTCTTTATTAAAAAGTTTTTCTTTTCACAAGTTGTATTTAAAATCTGTTCCTATAATTCCTTAAAATTACTGGAAGAAGAAGCTTTTCTTTGTAGAGGTGTTTTAACGGGTGTACTGTGTCCACTTCTGGTCTCCTCAGCACAAGAAAGACATGGACATACTGGAGGCAGAGTCCCACAAAGGGCCATGAAGGTGATGGACTGGAGCATCTCTCCTGTGAGGAAAGGCTGAGAGAGCTGGGACTGTTTAGGCCTGGGGGGGGGCTTAGAGGGGATCTCATCATTGTATACAAATACCTGAAGTGAGTATGCACAGAGATGGAGCCAGGCTCTTTTCATGGGTGCCCAGTGACAGGACCAGAGGCAGTGGGCACAAACTGAAACATAGGAGGTTCCCTCTGAACATCAGGAAGCTCATTTTTTTGCTGTGAGGGTGACAGAGCACTGGTGTAGGTTGCCCAGGGAGGCTGTGGAGTTTCCCTCCTTGGAGATAATCAAAAGCCATTTGGACATGGTCCTGGTCAGCAAGTTCTGGGTGGTCCTGCTTGAGTAGGGGAGTTGAACCAGATTGAATTACAGAATGAATGAAGTAATGCAGTAGACGTGTGTTCTGGTTTGGCTAAAACAGGACCAATTCTACATTCAGTAGATTTTCCTTCAGTTAAGTCTCTTCTAAGTAACTGCACTTTTTGAAGTTGGCTACGCATTTTGCAGACAGTGTCTGGTTTTAGAATTGATAATCCTTGATGTTTATAGTTGTTATCAAGGTAACAGTAGGACTGGTATGCAGAAAGGCCAATGTTTATACTTAGCCCTCTGGGAACCAAGGTCACTGCTGGCACTCTGTTGTTCCATAAATGAAAAGGCGTGAAAGGGTTGCATCTACCGGAAGGAGCAGACAGGACAGGTGATCAAAAACTGACCAACGAAGTACTCCATCCCATACACGTCATACTCGGTATAAAGCTCAGGGATCGCGGGGGTCAGCCCTCTTTCCTTCATGGCCGGCATCCTTGTGGGACCCTGCTTGCTCTCCTGCTTCCGATCCCGATCCGTGCGTTCCTGAATCCAGTTCCTGTCACCTGCAGTGTCCAGTCCGGGTGCCCGCCCTGCCGTGGCAGCGGTGCGAGCTACAGCGGACTGCAATTCCCTGATCATCACTGGGAAGTTCAGTGTTGGGTTTGTGTTTTTTTTTTTCCCCCCTATTAGTAGTAGTATTAGTATTAATAATATTATACTCTTTTTCATTGTTGTATTAAAGTAGTTTTAACTTTCCGGTCTGTAAGTCTCTCTCCTTTTTCTCCTCTCCTTTCCTTTCTGGGAAAGGAAAGGGTTAATAGAGAGCGTCTGCCCTCCGCCAGCCCAGCCTTAAACGGTGACAACTTGTGCATTTTCACCTTAACTTTAGAAAGCCTTTCTTTTGATAGCCGCCTCTTTCTACCCTGTGCTGTGCATTGTTAAAAGCAAGTTTTATTTGGAGTAAATCAAGCCCTTAGGATTTAGCCAGCCTTTGTTTTTACTTGTGGGCAGTTTTTGTTTGTGCTAAAGGAGTATGTCTGCAAACAGCTGACTGGAATGACATTCTGTAGAATAAATCAGGATGTAAAACGGGCAGAATAAGTTTTACTTGATCTGAAAGTAGAACCCCCAGTAAGGGTCTACTTCAGAGATCGTTTCTTTGAGCGTCTTTGATGTCAGGTCAATCAGTCATGGATCTTCCATGTTTTTTCACAAAACGCTACCTTTTGGGTTTAATTCTTAGAATTGAAATATTATATCGCTGTTCTGCCAAAGATTATAGATAAGATGGAGGAACATACCACTTTTCCAAGAATTAAGAAAACTATAGTGTGATATTTGGGTTTTGTTTTGGTGTTACTCGTTTCGGCTTATGTGCTGAAATGAGCTTTATTTCTTCAGTGCTTTGCAGGATAGCATACAGTTCACAGTGATGAGACTTCAGAGGTACCTTATTTCATGTTCTTGTTAGTTCCCTAGGCGTTTGACTATGTTGCAGCTTTCCTGTTCACGAGGATGTTGCTTTAGCATCTTCTTCTCAAAGGTGGAGAAACAAGTATGTACGGTTTCTCCCTCCTAGTAATAAGGGAGGGATGCTTATCTGCTTGATAACAGTCTCTGCAGCTGTGTTAATTAACAGCTATGGGTTTTGTGAGGAGTAGGGCTTCTGGACATTTTAGTTGGGGAAGGAAAGGAAGTTTAAAGTGCTTGATGTAGATATTTAGGCAGTCTTATTGAGAGTTTATGGGGAAACTTGTACTTGTTGTAAGGGTAGCAGAGTGGTTGCAATCAACTTCTGAGGCTTCACCTTGCCATCTTTGCCAAAGAAGGGTATGGTACAGGCAACAAAACACTCACGTCGGGGAATTTGGCACAATTTAGCCAACTGACATAAGCTTTTTGTTACTGATTCTGGTAACAAGAAACAAAGACGAATGCTTAGAGGAAAACAACTCCGCTTCCCTCCAGCTACCTCTGTTCCCCCCTCGCTGGTCACCAGTCCCCTCACTGCACATCGGAGTCAGTTCCTTGGGTGAGATGTTGACAGCACATGAGTCTGACGTCGGTGTGTAGTGCTTACTTTGCTTTGGCTGTTCCCTGTTTCTTAGTGGCTGGAGTGTAGGCTTCTCCATGGGCTGCCGTCCCCTCAGAGCTGTCCCTTCTGTCTCCTCTCTGCCCCGCTCAGGCAGCTCTTCTGGACTGGAGCCTGGCTTGGGCAACTCCTCGTGTGCCTCCTCTTTCCAGCGTCCCTCCTGCCCTGGCAACTCTTTTGCCTCTGTGTCCCTTATGCCCTGCGCGGCTGTCTTGTCTGTGCGTCTGTATCCCCCTTCTGCAGCATCTCTCCATCCCTTCTCAAGCAGCTGCTTTTCTCCTTGTGGTCTCTCTTTACAGTGTGCTGTCTGGTGGGTGCAGTTTCGTGTGCGGAGGTGGGTCTGTTTGCCTGTTGCCAAGTCAGCTGGGACCGATTGGGATGGGTACAGGGCAGTCCCAGACTGAGCTCCACACAGGTCGCTGGCAGCCAGTGCCGAGACCTGCCAGCTGTTTTCCCTGTGGCAGTGTGTGAGAGAAGATCAGTGTAGGCCGTCAGTGATCTCCAAAGTGAGGACAAGTAGTTGGTTATGAAGACTGAGAGGAAAGGTAATGTAAGTATACTGATAAGCAAAGATATTTTCCCAACAATATTTTAAAGTAGAATAGTATATTATGGCCTATTAATATGTTGCAGTATTCAGTATGCATTGGTGAATGGACAAATTTTTTTAGCTGAGATCTTGGAGATGAATGAATGTATCTTAAGATGGAGATCAAGGAGTATATTTGATCTACATAAAACTCTTTGATTTTAAAGAAGATTGTTAGAGTTAAGTGAAGCACAGTTACTGAACAGTAACAGGGAATAGTTGTCAGAGCGTAAAAATTCAGGGTGAGTAGATAATTTTGTGTTTGGCCACATGGTAGGTAAGGTCAGAGGTGAGCGGGTAATCACATGGAGATGTTGGCAAAATTGGGCTTTTATTCTGGATACAAGATAATATTGAAGTAACAGACTTGTCAGCTATTCATATAGAGGGATTCACTTGCGATTTTTTTTCTGTCCTTTTACTAGTCATATTTTCTCTTGGTAAGTCCTTCTGAGAGCCACATTTTCTGTTTAACTGCAAGAACTGGCTGGAATGTTCTGAAAGCAGTATTTATACTTTGCAGATGTTGCTTGTGGCTGCTAGTAAGGGAGATGGAGGGCAGAAGGGAGCTTGTGGCTTGGGCTTAAATCCAAATCCACTTCCTCAGTGGGGGAAAAATTAAAAGTCAAGGGAGTTCGGCCAGCTTTGTTTGAAGGAGCTAATATTTAAGAGTGAGAAAACTATTGACAATGTAGCGGAATAAAAAAAGAGTTGATTTTGGCTTTACCTTGTCTATTTCCATGGTTTTAAACTTTAATTCTTAATCTTTATTATAAATTTTTTTTTTTGCTCATGTTTTCAGGAACAGGTAGTTGGCTCACTTAGGATTGATAGCTCATTTAAAAATGCACTTCCTTGAGAGTAACATCACAAATTATATTTGACCAAAACCAACTTTTTTTTATACGTAAGAAAAACTTTACATTGCAGTATTTTTAGTATGAAAATAAGTTATTACAGCAGTAGAGCTTGAAAGTTTGATAATGAAAATGCAGTTTAAACTGAAAAATGTGGAAATTAATGAAACAAGTATGTTTTAATATTCTTGTAGTTCTAATAAGGGGTTCCTTAGCATGATGCTTTCTTCAGTAATGTGGAGGTGGCAGAACACATCTCAATATCGTTACTCTGTAGTTCAGGAAGGCATTTAGATCTTATTTTTGATGTTTTGTATTCAAGTCCCATCCAGCTGTTAACACTCCTATCAAAGAAACTGTTCAAGAAAGCAGTCAGGAGCCTGCAGAGGGGAGTGAAGAAAAAGCAGGAGCCAAAAGAAGAAAGTCTTCTGTCCCAAAAGTAAGTGACTGAAGTCATGTTCTACCAGAAATGTTTTTAAGTCAAAAATGTGTTGCCAAGTTTTTACTTAAATACTTTACACTAACAGTGTTTTACTGTTTTGACTGCCTTGTCTTTGCTTCTTTCCAGATGTACACGCAGTAATATTTTCGTCCTTCTGTATTCCTTTTAAGGTGCTGCATGTGTTTTTGAAAACTAGTTTCTTTACTAGTCTGTATTTCTAAATCATACTATATTTAAAGTGGATTAATACAGTACTTCCTAGGCAGGAGAAGATGAAGTGATTACCAAGATTTAACTTTAAGTTTTTTTTCCTGTTTTTGAAGAGTTTTTAATATCATTGAGAGGTGTGACTTTCTCAATTATGACAGTTTTTCTTAAAAAAAAAAAAAAATCAGGTTCTGTCTGGGTTTAAAGGATTCTTCTGTATATTTGCCTGAACAGGTTGTAAGAATCGGTTTGAGTCAGACCATACTCCTCATGGACTAATTAGGGTATAAATGGATATAAAGGATTTCATAGCTGTATGAATTGAACTCTGAGTCAGGAAAGTATCTGTGAATAGTCAGTATACAGTAGTTTATACAGAGTTTAGCTTCTTTGCTTTGTAAATGTGTGCATACCTTAGAATCCTTCCGGAACAAGATTGTATTCTTTTTAAATATATTGTATTCATACTTAGAAAATGCATTTCTGTCTGAAACATCAGTATTTCAGCTTACTGGTGCTATATGTAATTCATACTGTAAGAGGTGGACCTTCCTAGCTTAGTGTACACTTAATAATACTAGTGTAGCACTGCTTTGAACTTTCTCTATCCTTCAATGTTTTGTTTTGTTCATATGGGGTTATTTTTCATATGGCATGGAAGAGGTGTTGTGTGCTATCTCTTCTCAGTTTTTTAAGGAGAATAGACTCCTAAAATGACAAAAATTGTGATGCAGATTGGATTGATATATTCATGGTATCTCATTTATCTGTAATTTATTTCTGGAAATTACTACTCTACAGGATGAGCAGTGCTCTTAAATTAAGCATGAAACTATTTTGAATAGACTTGCCTTAATTTTGACTGTTTCTCTTTTGATTATTTGCCAAGATTTAATGTAGTTTTTCTCTAGATGTAGCTGGCTGTCCTCAGTTGCAACTGAGGAATTGCAGTGTGTCAAATATATAGTGGATGATCCTTACGTAGCGTTAGTGTCTAGTAGCTGTAATAGCTTATTTTTTCGAGAGGAAAAAAGACCTTTGATGGGGGGTTGGAATTAGTGTACTGGTCGTACACTAACAGATGATGTTGAGAGTTGTTTTGACAAGTTGGAGACTGCGAGTTATTGATGGGTTATTTATCCCAACTTCTTACTGCTTAGTGTTCCTTAATTTAGTACTTCCACATGTGGAAGGTCAGTGTGATTTGGGTTCTATGCACTATACTTTAGGAACTGTCTTCAACATGTAATTTCCTGCTACTATTAGTAAACCACTGCTGTTCTTCCTTCGTGCCTGTGCACACTGCTGATAAAAGCATTTGTTCCTCAGCATTTGTTACTGCAAGGGGAAAACTTCTTTTAAACTGGACTGATTCATCAGTTTTCTTCACTGTGAATTTATGCAGCAAGCAGCATGTGCTAGTGGGGATAGCAATGACTTAAGCTCCTGAAAAGTGCATTCAGGCTGTCCTGAGCTGGCACCGTGAAAAAGAAATGGGAAGACATGAGAGCCATGTAAACAGAAAGATGGAATGGAAGATCGTGAATGGGTCCTTTTACATAGATTCCTGTAATTAGTCTGCATCACTTAATCAGTTTAAGGCAAAATATGGCGCAAATTTACTCCTATTCTTTTGATACTGTCCTGGTTTTGGCTCGGATAGAATTAATTTTCTTTCTAGTAGCTGGTACAGTGCTGTGGTTTTGGATTTAGTATGAGGATTATGTTGGTAACACACTGGTGTTTTATTGTTGCCAAGTAGTGCTTACCCTAAGTCAAGGACTTTTCAGTTTCCCATGCTCTGCCAGCAAGGAGGTGCACAAGACACTGGGCATGAGCACAGCCAGGACAGCTGACCCGAACCAGCCAAAGGGATATTCCATACCATAGAGCGTCATGCCCAGTATATAAATTGGGGGAGGGGGGGGGCATTGTTGGCCAGGAGGGGCCGATTGCTGCTTGGGGACTGGGCATCAGTCAGCGGGGTGGTGAGCAATTGTATTGTGCATCACTTGGGGTTTTCTTGGGTTTTGTTTTCTTGGGGTTTATTCCTTTCTCTCTTTGTTATCTCCCTTTTCATTACAATCATCATTAATATCATGATAGTATTTTATTTCAATTATTTAACTGTTCTTATCTCAACCCCACTGGGGGCGGGGTGGGGGGAGAAACTGAGCGGCTGCGTGGTGCTTGTTTGCCAGCCAGGGTTAAACTACAGTAGTCCTTTTTGATGCCCAACATGGGGCTCGAGAGGTTGGATAATGGCAGATCTGACCAGAGCATGTTAAAGCAGATTTGTTATAAGCATTCACTGTATTAGTTAATAGTTGTTGGTCACAATGTTGGTTTAGTTGCTCTCAGTGGTGGTGTGCTGTTTCTCTGAGTTCCGTATGTGACACCTTACTTGCTGCTGCTGTTGTACTTTGTAACACTGTCTGATGATATGACAGAATTGCTGGTCGTGGAACTAATCTGGTATTTGTACTTGGCATTGCCGTCACCTCTGTACCTCAGGAGCCATCTATTGGAAACTATTAATAATACACCTTTTGCCTGTTCTCCTTGGAGACCCGATCTATGGAGTAGACATCTTTCCACAGCTTCCCCTTCTTCTCCAGGCTAGTTACAAAAGCATTGGAGAACTTTGAAAATTTTTAATGTCCTTGGGATGTTGAAACGAGTATGATCCTAATGCTAGGAACGATGAATGTGGTTCACGCCTTGTTTAGGGTTAAGCAACTATTTGCAGCTACTCAGGACCTCGTCTACAGACACCACGGCTGCTTGGGACCCTGGCAATGGGTGATGCAGCTGAACCAAAGGACCAACCTGTGCCAGTATCAATTGCCCCTATACGCAAGAAGAAATGGACACGAAAGACAGCTTGTTTAGTTAAGGAGGACAAAGCAGGGCCACCACAAGAACAGGAGGCAGAACAAGAATTAACCTCTTGATCCCTATCCCTGAGTGAGCTGCAAGATATGTGAAAACATTTCAGCTGTCATCCAGGTGAGCACACTGTCACCTGGCTGCTCTGATGCTGGGTTAATGGGGCCAGTAGCCTGGAATTAGAGGGTAGGGAAGCCAAGCAGCTGGCGTCACTTTCTAGGAAAGGGGACAGTGACAAGGTGATTGGAAAAGGGACATAAGTCCTCAACCTCCAGAGGTGAGTTCTGTCAAGCGTGAAGGAAAAGTACCCTTTCAAGGAAAATGTTATCTGTCACCCTGGCAAGTAGACCACCATGGAGAGATGTATTCAGTATCTGAGGGAATTAGCCGTGCTAGAGAGGATTTGTTATGACTCGACCAACATGCTGTCACCCACAGATACAAAGTCAATGCACATGACCCATGTGGTGGAATTTTGTGCAGAGTGCACCATCGTTGTATGCTGAATCATTGGCAGTAACGGACTGGAAAGATGAAGAAGGACCAAGAGTGGATGAAGTGGTTCACTAACTCTGGCAATATGAAGGAAGTCTCTCTTCCTTCCTCGTCTCGGCTGTGGAGAAACTGGTCCAGTAACTGAAGGAGGATAGATCCCACTCCCGACCTGTATGGACCAGTATCTCAACTATTAACAGTAAATGTTCTTTTGCTCAAGGGAGAGGATATGGAAGGTAACACCATGGGCTGCCCTGTGGTTTTACCTATGGGACCACAGAGAGGACATGAGGAAGTGAGACAGAAAATCTACCTCGACCCTGGCAGCATGGGTATGTGAATTGCAAGGATAAACAACCACAAATGGAAGCTCTTCCAAGAAAATTGCTGCTGCAGTCTACAGTGGGCAGTTCCCCAGACAGAGTGGAAGGGCTGATCTTACTCCTGATCCTATGGAAAGGAATTCTAACCTATTTTAGCAAGAAGTGAGTGTAGAGTCTCGTGACCAGTACTAGAGGGGCCCTGCCTCCAGCCAGGTGGAAGAGGGATAATTGAGTTTACTGGACTGTGTGGATCTGATGGCCTGGATAGGGAGTATAAGGCTGTAGTAGATACCAGTGCACAGTGTACCCTAATGCCATGAAGCTATAAAGGGACAGAACCCATTTGTATTTCTGGAGTGACAGGGGAATCCCAACAGCTAACTGCATTGGAGGCTGAAGTAAGCCTGACTGGGAATGAGTGGCAAAAACACCCTATTGTGACTGGCTGAGAGGTTCTGTGCATTCTTGGCATAGACTGTCTCAGGGGAGGGTATTTCCAGGACCCAAGAGGGGTACCAACGGGCTTTTGGTATAGCTGCCTTGGAGGTATTAAGCAACTGTCTACCTTGCCTGATCTCTTGAAGGACTGTACTGTTCTTGGGTTACTAAAGGCTGAAGAACAGGTGCCAATTGCTACCACAACAGTGCACCAGTGGCAATATCACATGAACCGAGACTCCCTGATCCCCATCCATATGCTGATTCTTTGACTGGACAGCCAAGGGGAGATCAGCAGCACTCAGTCGCCCTTTAATAGCCCCATATGGCCAGTGTGGAAGTCTAATGGAGAATGGAGACTAACAGTAGACTGTTGTGGCCTGAATGAAGTCAGACTGCCACTAAGTGCTGCAGTGCCAGACATGCTGGAATGTCCAACACGAACTGGAGTCAAAGGCAACCAAATGGTATGACAACTGATATTGCTCATGCATTTTTCTCAATCCCTGAGTGCAGGTCACAGTTTGCTTTCACTCAGAGGGGCATCCAGTATGCCTGGAACTGACTGCCCCAGGAGTGGAAACACAGCCCTACCATTTGCTATGAACTGATCCAGACTGCATGGAACAGAGTGAAGCTCTGGAACACCTGCAATATATTGATATCATCATCACTGTTCTTATCTGTTATCATAAACTATTCTTATCTCAACCCATGGGTTTTACCTTCTTCTGAGTCTTCCCCCAGTCCCACTGGGGAGCCGGGAGAGGTAAGCAAGCACCTGCGTGGTGCTTGGTTGCCAGCTGGGGTTACGCCACAACAGATACTAGTGTAGCTGTAACGTTCTTTCAGCCAGTCATTGTACTCTGTTTCCCTGTGTTTTTAATGTACCAGGGATTCTTCTGTCTTAAAGCTGTAATCCGTAAAAAGCCAGTGAAACATGTCTTCAAGTAATTAGGAATATTGCATGATAGTGTTGTATGTGAGTTGCTTTCTTCAGTCTTGAAATTTTAAGAACTATAGCTACTTTAAAAGGGAATTTTACAGAAGGAGCTTGCAAGTGGGACAAGGCAATAGCATTGAAGCTGAGAGAATGAACTGAAGATCTAAAAACCATGTACATACATAGGCTGTAAGGAAATGTTGATTATTTTCAAGTAACTTATTAACTCTCGACTTGTCAAGTCTTCACTGCTCACCTAAAATGAAAACTAATATTAGTATTTTAAGGTTTAAAAAAACCCCAACAAAACAGGAAAAAAGGCATAGATTAGATAATACCAATTATTACTAATTACTATCTCACATGATAAAACAACTTGTTTGTGGTCTATCTACTACATTAAATCTTTGTTTAGTAGAGTGATACTCTTTACAAGATATGATCTGTGACTTGGACATCCCTCTGTTCGTAGCAGTTAAACAGTGAGCCAAATTAATCTTGAATGTTGGCATGAACGCTTTTAAGTACTCATATAATAGTGATGTGGTGAAAAAATGTAGTTATGTTATCATGAACACAAAGTGGAATTTAAGTTCCACCATAGTACATTGCTGTATTTTGACCTGTTCTGACAGCCACCTGCGATCGTGTACTGGAGGAGGTAGTCCTGCCTTAGGCTTTTAACGTGTACCTAAGAAAGGAGTGCATCTACAGACTTAAACTATTCAAAATGAAAAGCAGCCTGATAGTTATTAGTATGTTCTCTTTTTACTATGAAATACTTTTTAATGCATTTTTTTCAGTCTATGTTGACTCCCTTTGCAGTTATCCCCTAAAGGCGATAGTAGCTTACCTACAGAAGCTGAAACAGAAGAAAAGGAGATGGATACTTCAAAGGAAGATGTTCTACCTTCTGAAAAAATCAGTAAAGAAGTATGTGAAAGCTTTTTCTATATGCCAAAGAACATCTTCGTATTATGTTGGTTGACGTAAATCTATTACTGAGTACTAAGAAGCTACAGTTAATCCTACTGTGACAGTGTCAGGACCTGTTTAATTATATAAAACTTCCTATGTGTTCAGTCATGTTTATATCTCTCATTGAAGCTAACAGGAATTGAAGCTTTCATCAGAAGGGAAACTTTTAGTCTGGCTTGTCTATAGAAGTTTGATTAAAACAGGTGGAACAGCGTGGGTTTTTTATCACTTAGTCTCTATTGCAAATGTACTTTTTTTAAAGGACTAGATAAAGAGTTGTGATAGACTAAAATATGACTACCTACCTCTACTTAAAACAGAATATTATTTATAATATTATTTCTTATTTTTTTGAAAAAAATCCTGATTACTAGATAATCAGGATTATAATTGATTTGAAAGCAGGCTGTGTCTTCATATATATTACAGGATTCTTGTTTAAGTTATGTGCCAGAGGCTTCGGTTGTGAAAAAAACTTAGAATCGTTTAAAATACACCTTTGTTTTGTTAAGACTCTTAGCACCATTTTTAATCTTCACAGGATGTGGTGAAAACAGATGATGCATCTATTCCTAAAGTTGCTAGAAGAGGCAGAAAAAGAAAGGTAACAATATGTTTAATTACTTCACCTTACTGGAATTTTTGGATGTGAGGATACTGGATATTATTTTCTTTAATGACAGATAATGCATGAGCTGAAGTGCTTGACACCCTCCTGCCCCCTTTCAAATGGCTCAAAGATTTGTAGGAATGAAAGTTTTCCCAGGGGGTGCTTTACAAGTCTTAATTCTATTTGAAGTTAATGTAGAGTAGGGAGTTCCCATCTCTTCCCAAACAGTCCATTGCAAGTAAAAAGAACTAAGATATAAACTGTCGCTAGGCTGCTAATAAAGTAGTCTGTTTTGAAGCTCTGAAAGAATTTTTTTAGTATCTTCATCACACTGAACTGACACCTGAAATACTCACCCTTTTCATGAGGTTGTGATTCTGTGGTCTCTTCAGTCTGGGGAAAGTTTGAGTTACTGTGAAAGGGGCAGTTCAAGCTGCTTGCCAAGCATGCTCCAGCCTTAATGTTCATGTGGTCACACAGCAAGTCGGATTGGGCACTGACCCAATTAAAAACTAGATTAAGCTGAGGCAAAGTTTACTTTCAATTTGAAACCATTTAGCTTGCAACATTAGTGCTGACAGCATGAACAGGATGAGTGTGAAGTAACTGTGACCTTAGTATGTTTGTCACAGGTAAGTAGCATGCTGAGTATCATTTGCTTCATGAAAAAGAAGGTTGTGTGTTTGGGTGCTCTTACAAAAATGACTGGAATATTTTAAAAAAATTAATTTGAAGAATACCTTATTTAAAAAAAACAGTAAATTTTATAAAAATCTGAAATAAAATTCAAAGAAAGCTTCTAATCTGAAACAGCAAGAAGTCGGAAGAACGTCTGTGACTATGCATGTATGTGATTTCACCTTGTAAATGGGAGAGAAGCGTCACAGATGACACACATGGAAAAAAAGATGTCATTCTTTGCTTTTTCAAAAAGCACTCAAATCCTATGGTTGTGGTGTTTTTTCTTTTGTTTTGTTTGAGATGGGGGTGGTTTTGGCATCATAAGGCACTGCAGGCCTAAGAAGATTTCCTCTGTCACTTTTACTAGCTTCAGCTGACAGACTTGTGTTTGGCATGTGCTGCGTGTGGTAAGGGGTTTAACCAGAAATTTGGATTACTACAGGCCATTGTTGAACAGAAAGGCATAACATTTCAAGGGGTGTGATGTATGCTTGTGGGTCAGAAAAGAGGGCTGGCTATGCAGTTATATGACTTTGAATGTGTTTCTTACTTGCCTTAAGAAACATGGCGTTTTCTTTTCCTGGGATTTTAAAAAAGCATTCTAACATATTTTTCTGTCTTCATGTAAACAGTCTTTCTGTAGGCTGATGGAAAGCACAGTTAATATGAGAAATGTACCTCTGTTCTAGATTTAAGTTTGTCTTTATTCTTTAAAACGGTCTTTTATTATAGGTGCCCACAAAGAATATTAAGATAAATATGTATTTACTCTTAACTGCTCTTGCTGCTAGCTGTTGCTCCTGCATTCAGGACACTAAATTCCATGAATATTTTCTCCAGTTAGGATTTTTTTTTCTCAATTCTTTTTATCTATATGTATGGATTGGTAATGTTTCTGCAGGGAGATAATGTATTCTTTCATTGAGATCTTCTTCTGTCAGAAGTTCTATCTGTCTCCACCCCCCTAAAATGACTATGTAGATGAATGTCATTATGTCCAGTTCAATGTACAGTTTTTCACTGTGAATAATTGGCTAGAGAGCTAGAAGCAAGTGTTTTTTCTGAATAGCTCCATTTACTTGCTGGATACTTTGATGCAGCTAGGGGAGATAATAGCATCAGCATCTAAAGAAGAGTATTTGTATATTGGGGGAAAAAATATGAACTTACCTCCTTAAAACTGGGTTTTGGCATGCTGTTATGGTGATCTTAAAAGTACTTAGGAATAATCTTTTTCCTTTGTTGTATCAAGATGCTGTTCTGAAGATGAATGTGCTGGTTGAAATTATATGAAACATTACTGTATCAGTGTCATGGTCCACTCAGTAATGGACTCGTGATGGTTCGTTAAACTCAGGTCTTGAAGTGCAAAAGAGAAAGGCGAAAACGCCAAAAGGGGTTATATTTCAATCAATCAGTATAACTTTATTGTGTTGCCTGTAAAGCGGCGTCTGATAGGTAGAAAGAGTGAAGGGGGAAAGAAAAGTTAAAGTAAAAGGAGAGAGGGAGAGAATTATAGCTACCACCACGGGTCCAAGGTATCCCTGTGGTCCCAGGTCCGGCGACGTCCCGTCGGTCCTTCCGATCATCGTGATCTTCGGTGGGGAAAGCTTCCAAACTTTGGTTGTTAAGGAGCATCTTTTATACTGAGCAACACACCTTGCCCCCTCCTCCATCCCATGGACCACTGCCAACCTCCGCCTTCTCTCCGCCTCCCCAAACAAGACTTTTGCGCATCTTCAAGGAGGACTTAGGCATGGTTCGCCTTGGAGGCGGGTGGCCTTTGGCTAGGAGGTCTGTTTTCATATTATAATGAGGATTACAGTATCTCTGGTGGTCGTAATTCTTTGGCAGTTTCTTGGGAGAAAATAAAGGTTTACATAGATACTTTGTTATGAGACCTTCACAGTGAATCATTCTGTATGTATCATTAGTTCTTACATTTTGTTCTTCACAACTTGCCCCAGCATTCTTTCTCTATCTGCAAGGTCTTTTGGTATCTATTTCACCAATTATTTAGAGATCACAAAGTGCATGCTTTTGCAACTCCTTTCCAATCCCCCCTTTTTGGGTGTTGGCGTATTATCTCCAAGTTTCTGCTGACGATGTTGAGATATTACTGTTCTTTTCAGGACGACTTTGGACCGACTCTCACAATCAGGTAGTGATGGTATGGAGAGGCTGAAATTAGTGATATTTAAATATAACTTGTTACCAAATTTGGAAACTTTTTTTCATGTGTAGAAGCAATAGTGTAATAATGCATTTCTAGAAGTTTAAGACTGTCATTTGAGAAAATAATTGAGATATTGGTGCCCTGTGTTTTTTCACTTGTGAAATTCATCCTTTAAATTAGGCTGAAAAACAAGCTGAAGCCGAGGAAGGAGTGGCACCAGTGGCAGGAGCAATGGCAGCAGCAGCTCCTGTGCCAGTGTCTCCAAAAGTAAGCCCCAAAAGAGGAAGACCAGCAGGTAACTTTAAAAGAAAGATATAAATTTTTTCACTATGGAAATATCTCAGTAGAATTAGTCAGGGAGCTGTCTCTTTCCCGTAAAATACTACAGAGTATTTTCTCATGCTAAAGGCAGTCTTTGCTAATAGATTGTAATGAGAAAACACCTCATTTCAAACTGATGAATTTAGGACGTAAATGGATTTAAATTGTTAGCGTTAATGCTCAATCCTCTAAATAATTCATCGGTTTTGGATGCAAGTATCATCTTCAGAAAAGTAGCCTTCATAGAATGCTGCGAAACTACAGATATACGACAAGAGCTCTTTGTGCATGGTTGCTCCATAAAGGTTTATATTCATTAAAAGTCTATAAAATACTTTGATTGTGTTATAATAGCCATAAAACTTAAGGAAGAGAACTGGGGGGACACAGAGCCTGAAGGTGGAGCTCAGAGGACAGTGAAAACAAAGCTGGAAAGACTTGTTTAAAAAGATCTTTTAAGGCGGTCTGTGTAGATTGATAGATAAATAGAAAGAAGATAGAATTGCTTTTGTATAATGTATAATTAGAACCATTTGGTGATTATTCTGCAGTGCTTGTTTCTTTCAAAGTAGCAATGATGTAATTCATTGGAATTTTTCTGGTAAGTTTGCATATATTGAATCGATCATTAACTACTACATCAGAAAACAATTCTTGCAGCAGTTGAGTACACTGTATGAGCATCTAGTCTGGGAAACAAAGAATTTATATGCACCTGTATCTGCTAACAATATGAAAATAACTTTTAGGAAATGCAGCCACAGTTAACTAGACTTAATTACTTTTTCCTTGGAAGCTGTGAGGACATTAAGTATGACTTTAGCTCCTCTTCCCTCCACTCCACCCTGTTTCATTATGTATACTAAACGTACATTTTTAATATTTGTACGTGTTTTTATCTTTACAATTTCTTTTGTTTGTTTTTACTAATTACTGTCTGTAAGAGCCGGAAGGGATCTATAAGAGATCCTTTGACCTCCTATATAAAATACCTTTATATAGACAAGCATTTGAAGGATATAAGTGCCAAGGAGGCAGATAAACTATCTGTCTTACTCCGAACAATATGGCGGATCTCAGGAAATGCAAAGTTTTGCTCTGTATCGTAGTGTGGTGGTAGAACTTCTTGACAGTGCTTTGTTACCAAGAAAAGTGATGGAAGCCCCGTGATACATCTGAAAGTAATGGCAAACAGACTGTGTAAATGTGGACGGTAAATTACTTTTTTCCATTCTCTAATTTCAGACTTTCTCAATCTCTAATTTGAGACTTGTTCATGTTAGTTCTGCAACACGTGAAACGTGCCACACGAAATCCTAACTGCACAGTGCATAAAACACAAGAGTTGGTAGTTGGAGCCCGTGGCTAAAAGAACACGAAGGTTTTTAATTTACCACTCAGCTAAAAAAACTATTGACACTTTAATTTTTCAAAGACATCTTGATTAAAATTTGGTACTCGCTTAACACTTGAATTTTGTGTAATAACAATGTCAGAATATATATTTTGATTTAAGTGTAGCTTGTGTCTCTTGAGTAAGAATTTTTCCTCTCAGACAAGGAGCAGATGGTGGCTCAGGACTAACCTGTTATTTCTGTATAAATACTAGCTTCTGACATAAAGGTTCCAAAACCAAGAGGGAGACCCAAGTTGGTGAAACCACCTTGTCTTTCAGAGAGCGACCTGTGAGTTGTTCTGTTTTGTTTCTTAATATAAAGCTTCTTCATTGTAAACCATGTTGTTGCTTATGTTAAGACTTCATAATTAGTATTGAGTTCCTGACAGGTTTTTGCCCCTTTAGTATTCAGTATGAGTTACTGTTTGCTTTGGTGTTGTTATTTACAGCTCAGGTAATTAATACATAGTAACTCAAGGCAGTACATTTCTGGAACAAGAGACAGAAGATCTTTACTTTTCTAACTTGTAAAATCTGTGCAAAATTCCTTATGTAACTGTATGCTGAGTGAAGAGGAAAAATATTTATTAAGACAAAAGACAAGATCATGCAAAATTAAAATACTGAATTGCATAGATTAGTAGATGCACAGTTCCAGTATATGTATGCCTTAAATAAGTGTGCTTTATAAAACCAGTTTACAGTGTGTGCACTCTTGGTCCTGCAAACACATATGTGTGTGGAGAACTTCTGAGCATTAACTTCTTGGTTTTGAATCTGTGCGCATATATTAACGCTAGCTTCATTAGGGCTTCCATACTACAATTTATTTGGTTTTTTGCACAGGTAGTGGGCTATAATTTTAGAAAAAGATAGTATTTTTTGAAGAGTCATTAAATGAACTGAGAGTGAATTATCTTCATAATTTCTACTATTCTGTGGTAAAAAAAAAAAAAAACCAAACCAAACTTCCTGAATTAGAAGAATGTGATGTTTTAAACTCACTGTAGATAATGGACGTGATGCCTAAACACTGTTCATGTTCTAGCGTTAATGAGGAGGAGAAGGCAAAGAAAAAAGGACCAGAGGAAAAGCCCAAAAAGCAAGGTAAAAAAGATGAGGAAAGTCAGAAAGAAGAGGAGAAATCAAAGAAGGAGTTTGACAAAAAGGAAGGGAAGAAAGAGTCTGAACCAAAAAGGAAGAATGCTGCAAAAGTGGGTTCTGCATCAGCTTCTGATTCTGAAGATGATGGAGAAGAGCAGGAAGGTGACAAGGTATAATTTTGCTTTCCTGATAATACTGAAAATCTTTCTTGAAGTTAATGCTAGATCTTAGTAAAGGTTGGAGCCCTGTGGCTGGCTAATGTAAGCATGTAGAGTAAAAGCTGCAAAACTTCATTTTGTCCAGTAATTATTTCGGGAACTTCTTTGGTATTTTCTAAGAAAAGCATCTTTTCGAAGACACTTTCCTTTTAACAAAGGATTTAAATGTAGAACTTATTTTGTCAAGAGGCTTTTTTCCATCTGTGTTCCTTGAAACACGGACTTTTTTCCTCCTTGGGTGCATCTAAGAGAACATTTTGCTTGAAATCAAGTGTTTGAAAGGTATAAAGCTATCCCTAGCCAATCATTTGGAATGTCTTCATTTTTCTGGTGCTTAAGATATTTGCCTTCTATTAAAAAAAGGAAAAACGGAGAAAGGACTAAAGAAATTCAAAACTTATCAACATGTGGAGATCTTGTATTTAGTTGCAGGGAAAGCCAGTTCTTGTCAGGTTGTTCCATGGAGCAGAGTTGCTTCAAAGGTACTTAGTGTAGGTGGGTCTATCTCTTTACAGAAACAGTGACTTAATAATCTTCCTTGCTTTTCTCTTTCCAATCCTGAAATCCCAAATAAAAATAGAAGAAAAAAGGGGGAAGAAGCTTTCAGGCACCTCATAGACGAAACATCGTAAGAGGCCAACATGAGAGAGAAGTGACAGAAAGAAAGCGTAAGCAAGAAGAACAGACAGAATCTGAATTGTGAGTATGTTTTAACATGTGATGTCTGCAAGTTGTAGGATTACTTTGAAACTAACAGGAGGAGACAATATCTGAAAGAATTTTAAAGTGGTTTGCACTGTGTTCTGTTGTTCTTTCCCTCCACCCTTTTTTTGTCTATTTTTAACTCTTTTTAAGTGGAGAATAAAAAGCTCCTCTAAGCCAGTATGTTCTGTTGTGGGAGGATGGGAAAAATTGAACCTAGAAATTAAGCGATGTCAGTCTTTCAGTCACTTAAAATTTCTAGCAGAAGACACCTGGTGGGTTCTGTTTAGAAGTAAACTAAGAATATCCATGTACAAAGGAATCAGTGTGAAAAACTGTTCAGGCCAGCCATGAATTTTTCTTGAAGTTTTGGATACATTAGATTGAGAACTGGTAGGACCTATTACTCCACAGTTATGGATTTTTGATCAGGTTGTGGAATGCATAGGGTTACCTGGAAAACATTTCCTTCTCTGTCTGCCAGCTGGAGCACACCATCAGACAGAACAAGGGAAAAATTAAGAATTATTCTACTCTAGCACTGCAAAGCCAGTTGAGTGATACCAAGAGCAGTCTGCATTTGGAAGATAAATTATCACAAATGAATCAAGCATAAGAATGGAGAGAAGATCCTGCCAGAAACTGGGGGGGTGGGACAATAGGAAGAAATCTTGACTCATTCTCAAGAGTTATTCTGCAAATGAGTGAAGAAGCTGCCACCACGAGAGCATGATGTTCCCATCCCCGCAGTTGGTGGGAGGGCGGAAGAAAGGGAGAACAAGGTAAAAATTTGGAGAAAAAGGAGGAGGATAGTGGTCCCCTTGACCTGTAACAACAAAATCCTACCTTTTTTGCATTCATTAACAAGAATGTAGTTTGTTTGGGGTTTTTCATACCCTAGCCCTTTCTTCTCCTCTTCTTCCTGTCACTCCTTCTCTGGAAGCCTAACATAATTACTCTACTTGCCTGTAGCAAACCTAAGCATTTCCAACTCCAGAGATACTAAATTGTCCTTAGTAACTTTGCAGCTCTTTATCGCTATTTAAATCTGACATATGCTGGTTGATTTCTGCAATCAAACTGTCATATATTGATTTGGTTCTAATAATCAAATCTCTACTTTTAAATAGCTGTCATATTTTATGCATTGGAGGGTAGATAGATCTTTGTTTCAGTAAGATAAAGGAGTAGTAGTTAATGAGTCCATAATGAATTTAATTATAGCTGATGACTAATGCCACAAAATTCAATATTGATAAAAAGTAAAAAAAATTCTATTTGCTCTGTCTGTCTTCAAGTTCCTCTACTAATACAATGAATGTAGGTCGATATCTTTTGGTTACTTTTCTCATCAGCATAGTTTCTGTTTTCTGGTCTTTGTAGCTGCTTTGTTAATATTTATTTAAGTCTAATAATGGTGCTTTGTACACCATTCTGTACATATACGAAGTTCACATGTACTTTTTAAACAGCATGAACTTGTGCTGCTAGTTGAAGTAAAAATATTCTTACATACTTTAAAACTGTTGATTCTGAAACTGGATAGAGTATGAAAGGAACATGGAAGGTGATAGACATGGAGTCCTGGATATTTTATGGATGCATATTACTACAACAGGAAGAAAATTAGTCACAGAATATTTAGTCATGATGTGCTGAAATGTGCAAATTGTAAAATGAGGCTCTGAAACCTCTCAGTAAGATGAGACTGAGGAATTGCTAAAGAGGGGTTCGTGATCTCTGAATAAAGAGTTCAAAAGCTTGTTTGAAAGACTTCTGCCTGTCTTCATCCTGTAACTGGGATTGAGACAAGTTTTTTGTTTTTCGTGAGTCCCAGCTTTATTTTTAGTGATACAATTAGAGAAAGAGCCAGGAGATTTCAATGAGCTTGTAATAAATATTTTTCCTTTATTACTGTTTGCTTCAGGAATACTTAAATTATCACTGATACATTTGTGGTCAGTTGTAGGATATTTATCCTGTTATAATTAATTACTTGAGAAAACAGGTCACATAGGAACTGATGATGACTAATTGATCTCTCCATAATTCCCCATGGTAATGTTACATAGTTTTACTCTTTCTGTCATCATACTAAAAATACTTTCTTTCTCCATTTAGTTCCATGAAACGCCATTTTACCAATTTGTACATGCAACCAAAACAAAATACAGTTTGGAAATGTGACTTGTTTTTAAAATGCTTTAATTTGCTGCTTCGAGGGAAAACAGTCTGTCAGTCTGTATCTCAACAGCTGTATCTCAACTAATTAATTTTGTTAATTTATTGCAGTCTTTGAAAACCGGAGTGTGGCACTCTGGTTTTTGCATGCCAATGTTTTACTGAGATAATACCTCCAAACATTACAACTCATCTAAAAATTGGAGAAAAAAAAAGACTGAAAAACAGGCTTTACAACATTGTAAAAACACTTTGACGTTTTTGATAGGCAGAGTAAAGAAGAAGGCAAGAAAATAGAAGTTAAGAAGATGGAGAAGAAGAGAGGTTAGTTTAAAGAAGCTAAACAGTATTTTTGTTCATCTTAAATTTTGAACAGAATTATCTGCCTGGATAAGATAATTTACTGCTAAGAGTGGTTGTGGGGTCTCAGTTTGAGATGCTTGAGCCATGACTGCTTCCTTCAGGTCTGTGAAACAGTGCATTCTTGTTCTTCTGTGTTTGTTCTTTCTTCAGTGCATTGGAACAGGTCTTTGCTATTTCTGTTTTACTGTCATTTGAGCTTTTAAATCTTGATGAGCCCTTCTCTTTGTGAACAAGAACCAAAGCTCTTATTCTTTGAACCAAATCACTTTAGTTCTTCTGTTCATTTTTTCCTTTCTTGTCTTCTCATAACACAATAATCTGAGGGACCTCTTGAAAGTATTTAGATACTACCTCTTGCTAAGCAGGAGGCTTGCTAAGCAAGAGGCTTGTTTTTCCTAAGCAAGAGGCTTAGATTCAGATTACTGTGGTCTTGTCTACTAACCCACACTTGCAAACTGACCTTCACAGGGATAAGACATTCCTTTTTTTAGTACTCCCATCTTTACAGCCAATGGTCTGGACTGCCCTTAATTTGTAGTATAGTACAGAACCAGTGGCATGGACTCCAACCAACCCAGCGCTGGCAGGGGAAAAAAAATACCAAGACTAATCCAAGATGGATTGAACTTGAAGGAATTTCTGCTTGCACTGTTGTTCAGAATACATACCATTTGTGTATGAAAAAATCCAAACAGGCATTCAGCATGTGAATTCGAGGTGGACATGTTCGTTCATCTTGCACCCCTGCTGGAGCATGTGTACTGGGAACATTTTATTTGGGTGGATTTGGACTGTAACTTGAATCCTGCCCGATTTACTGAAAACAAAACCATTAATGTGCAGGTGTCCTGTCATTAAAGGTTTTCCAACTTTGTAACTCTTAGTAGCTTCCTCTTAACCTGACCTACAAGTAGAGGGTGACACCTGTGTATTGAAATAGAAAATTCTTTTGTTTGTAACTCCTAAGGAGAAAACTATGTAGGTTGCTAATAGTGTCCAGTTTTAAAAAGCTGCGTACTTTACTTCTGATAGTAATCCCTGTGCTGTATTTATGTGTGCACCTACATCGTTATCTGATGTAGAGTGCCTGCCCTTATTTTTCTGCATTCTGTATGAAGTTCTGATTTGTAGAAGGGTTTCTACAAAAACAAACCTGATGTGATTATCAAAATTCATGCATGCTATTTTTAATCTTCAGAAACATCAATGGATTCTAGGCTTCAAAGGATACACGCAGAAATTAAGAACTCCCTGAAAATTGATAATCTTGTAAGTATATATTTTTAGCTGATTTATGTGTGTAATTGCAGTAGGAAATACTTGGCATGCATGTTTCCTTTTAGTTAATAATCTGAGAATGAACAGAATTTTTTCTTGCTGCTTAAATGAGGTTACTATGGACATTAAAAGATCAGTGCTAGCAAGTAAAACTGGTTTTGTTTGAAAATTAGATTATTTTGTTTGAAAATAGATTATTTACTGGAAACATTCAGACAGAATTCTGTCAAATGAAGCATCTGTGCCAGCTCAGCCTGAGCCATGCAGATGCACCAGAAGGACACAATGAGTGTAGTAGTGGCAGACTCCCTGAGGCAGGGGATAGAGGCCCTCATCTGCTGACCTCACTCATTGTCAAGGGAGGTCTGCTGCTTGCTCGGGCTTGGATTTGGAACATTACTGACAGATAGTTGAGGCTTGTCTGGCTTTAAGACTATTTATCAGCTGCTGCTGGTTTTCTATGTTGGGTACCAATGGTACGGTAAGGGGAGACCTGCAATAAAGCATGACTGTGTGACTCTGAGGGTGATCGTCAAGGTATGGGGACCCAGGTGGTGGTCCCTTTCTTGAGGAAGGGACTTGGGAAGGAATGGATAGCACTGCTAGGAGGTGGCAGGATCCACTACTTTAGTGCTGCCCAGAGGCTGGCTGACCTGGTTAAGAGCTTTAAACTAGGAACAATAGTGGAGGAGAAAGAGGAAGTGGTAGAGCAGGATGGCAATTAAATGATGCAGGGTGATGCAAACAGAGTTGGCCTTGTAATCAACAGAATTCCTCAACAGGACGGAATTGGCATCACCACAAGCATATGCACAGAAATGAGGAAGTGCTGGCAGCGCAGCATTACGAGGAAAGCTCTCATAACCTTTCTGGAAAGTCAGCGCGACTGGGTGCCTCTTCAAAGTGGCTGTACACTAATGCATACAGCATAGTGAACAAACGAGAGGAACTGGACACCTGTCTGCCATTGCAGGGCTTTGGCATCACAGAGATTTGGTGGGATAGTTGATGGGACTGGAGCCTTGCCATGTTTATATATGGGCTCTTTAGGAAGGACGGATGTTGGGAAGACAAGATGCAGGATAACTCCTCATGTGAGAGACCAGTGGGAATGTGTGGAGCTCTGCATTGGGACAGATGATATGCCAGGTGAGAGCTTATAGGTCAGGATTAGTGGGAAGACCAATACTGCTGACATCCTGAGGATGTCTACTGCTGATCACCTGATCAGGCAGAAGTAGAGAATGAAGTCATCTTAAGGCAATCAGGAGACAGCTCTGGTTCAAAGGCTCTGGTCCTCTTTGGAGGCTTGAACTCTACCGGTACCTGCTGAAGGGACAACATGGGGATTATGCAGCAATCTAGGAAGCTTCTGGAGTGTGATAACTTCCTAACACTTTTGATCAAGGAGCTGACAAGTGAAGACACCCTGTCAGACCTGATTCTTATAAACAGGGAAGATCTGGTCAGGTATATGAAAGTCAGGGGCAACCTTGGCTGCAGTGATTGAGATAGTGGAGTTCAGGATCCTGGGAGGAGTCAGCAGGGCAAAAAGGATCACAGCCTTGGAGGAGGAGAGCAGACTTTGGCCTCCTCACTGAGTAGAGCAGACTTTGGCCTCTACAGGGGTCTGCTTGGCAGAATCTCTTGAGAGACCATGCTGGAGCAAAGAAGAGACCAGGAGATCTGGCTCACTTTTAGGGATTACCACCTCCTCAAGATTGATTCATCTTCACAAGCAGGAAGATGACCAATGTGTCAGGGGAGCTGCATAGATGAAAAAGGAGCTCCTGACTGTAGTCAGGACACAAAAAAAGAAAGCATACAGAAGGTGGAAGCAGGGACAGGTGACCTAGGAGGAATATGCATACACTGTCCAAGCATGGAGGGATGTGCTTAGGAAAGCCAAAACCCACCTGGAGTTAAATCTGGGGAGCGGAATGAAGGACAACAAAGCTTCTTCAAGTATCTCACCAGCAAAAGGAAGACTGAGAAAATGTGGGCCCGCTCCTGAATGTGGTGGGGGATCTAGTGAAAAAGGACAAGGATAAGGCCAAGATACTCAATGCCTTCTTGACCTCAGTTTGCTTATACAATTCCTTTCAGGAATGCTAGGTCCCTGGGTCCAGTGGAAAGTCCAGAACAGGAAATACTTGATGCTCAGTGGGCAAGGATCAAATTAGGGAACATTTAAACAAAGTGGGACCTGATGTGAATAAACCAGAGTGCTGAGAGAGCTGGATGATGTCATTGCACATCCACTCCATTTTATTGTTGAAAAATCGTGGTGATCAGGGGGAGCTTCCTGAGGACTGGAAGAAAGCAAATGTCACCTTCATCTTCCGGGAGGATCTGGGCCAGTTGGCTTCACATCACTCCCTTCGAAGGTGATGCAGGAAATAGTCCTGGAAATTGTTTCCAGTAATATGAAGGACAGTAAAGTCTCTGGGACTTGTCAGCATGCGTTAATGATGAGGAAATCACGCTTGACCAAACTGATTTCTTCTGTGAAATGACTGGCTTGGTGGATGTGGGAGAGCAGTGGATGTTCAACAGAATCACAGAATGGTTGGGGTTGGAAGGGACCTCTAGAGATCATCTAGTCCAACTCCCCTGCCAAAGCAGGGTCCCCTACAGCAAGTTGCACAGGAACACATCCAGGCAGGTTTTGAATATCTCCAGAGAAGGAGACTCCACAACCTCTCTGGGCAGCCTTGCTGAAGTCAAGGTAGACAACACCCACTGCTCTCCCCTCATCTACCCAGACAGTTGTGCCATCACAGAAGGCTATCAGATTGGTCAAGCATGATTTTCCCTTGGTGAATCCATGTTGACTACTCCTGATAACCTTCTTTTCCTCCAGCTGCTTAGAGATGACATCCAGAATGAGCTGCTCCATTGCTTTTCCAGGGATGGAGGTGAAGCTGACTGGCCTGTAGTTTCCTGGGTCCTCCTTCCTGCCCTTTTTGAAGACAGGAGTGACATTGGCTTTTTTAAGACAGGAGTTACATTGGCTTTCCTCCAGTCCTCAGGCACCTCTCCTGTTCTCCATGACCTTTCAAAGATGATGGAGAGTGGCTCAGCAACAACATCTGCCAGCTCCCTCAGCACTCGTGGGTGCATCCCGTCGGGGCCCATGAATTTGTGGGTGTCCGGTTTGCCTAAATGATCTCTAACCCGATCCACCTTGACCAAGGGAAAGTTTTCTTTTCTCCAGGCGTCTTCTCTTACCTCCAGGATGTGGGATTCCTGAGGGCCTGCCTTAGCAGTAAAGACTGAAGCAAAGAATGCGTTCTGTAACTCTGCCTTCTCTGTATCCTCTGTCACCAGGGCACCCACCTCGTTCAGCGGGCCCACATTTTCCCTAGTCTTCCTTTTGCTGCTGATGTACTTGAAGCCCTTCCTGTTGTCTTTGACATCCCTTGCCAGATTGAATTCCCAGTGGACCTTAGCCTTCCTCGTTGCGTCCGTGCATACTTTGACAACATTCCTATATTCCTACCAAGAGGCCTGTCCCTTCTTCTACATTCCATAAACTTTCTTCCATTTGAGTTTTACCAGAAATTCCTTGCTCATCCGTGCAGGTCTCCTGCCCCCTTTGCTTGATTTCTTGCTCATAGGGATGCACTGATCTTGAGCTTGGAGGAAATGGTGCTTGAATTTTACTAGCTTTTTTGGGCCCCCCTCTCTTCCAGGGCCCTAACCCATGGGATCCCTCCTAGTAGTTCCCTGAAGAAGCCAAAGTGAGCTCTCCTGAAGTCCAGGGTAGTAATCCTGCTTATTGCCCTGCTTCCTCCATGCACGATCCTCAACTCCACCATCTGATGGTCACTGTAGTCAAGGCTGCCTGCAACCTTCACGTCCCCAACCAGTCCTTCTTTGTTAGTACAAGGACCAGCAGAACACCTCTCCTTGTTGGCTCCTCCATCACCTTTGTCAAAAAGTTACCATCAATGCTCTGCGGGAACCTCCTGGACTCTGTGTGCCTGGCTGTGTTGTCTTTCCCACAGATATCAGGGTGGTTGAAGTCCCCCATGAGAGCCAGGTGGTTCTATGCCCCTGGGTGGGCATCTGGCTGCTGGCCAAGCTGTGGGGGTTAACCCACCATAGTGTTAAATAGGAAACATTCATTTCCAGTGTAGCCTGTTCTTAAATTATTTACGTCTATGCCAATACTTTGTCTCAAAAAAGCAGTTCACCTTAAATAAAATTTAGAAAGCTTTTACTTCAACTTAGTGGTTTGGCTTAAGTAAATCACTCTCTCCTGAGCCAGATAGTAAATTCCTCTAAAATAATAAGTAAAGAACAAAACAGAAAGCCCCCAAAACCCCACCAAATCTCTGATTCAGAGGTGTAATGGAGCAAATATCTTGCAACACTGGGAAGAACATTGGCTGTAGAGCTATAGCAAGGACACTTAGTTTATCAGAATTGTATTTATCAAGTAAACAGGATAATAAGGATTCTGCTGAACATAGTCCTGACATGTTTGTTTGGCATTTTTTTAATACTATTTTCCCTTGAGAACAGACGCTACAACTTTATACAGGATGCAGAATATTACTATGACCTGTGCTGGTGATGAATCTTGTTAGTTCTAAATAGGAAGTAAAATAGCTGAAGATAAGGAAATTGAGAACTAAGTATTACAGAAAGAAGACTTTAGTACAATGGTTCTTGGAAATGGATCAGGTCACATCATTACTTCTGGGTGTCCTGCATGGTGTGTCATTCATCACACTTTTTAACTGAAAAATCTACAAAGATACAGTTTGTAAATTACCTGCAGTCCACTCAAGATGCTTTGCTACTTTCTCAGTGGCATGTCACTTGAGGAAAATTGTGTATGGAGAAGGATGACTATGGAGAACAGCTTCAAGCAAGGAAGTACTAGAATTAGAAAAGCAGCATGAAGTTTGAGTTTGTATTTTGAAAGTATAAAATTATAGGTTATTCAGATAGTATCTGCCTTTTCTTATGGAAGTGGCTGAAAGGCAACTGATAGTAATTTTTGTTGGCAAGTTTGTATATACTGTTATAAAATGAAGCACATAGTCAAATTAAGGATATTATAGGAAGTTACCACAGAGCATGGAAATAAATTTAGTATGGCTAATTAAGGATTATTAACATGTAAGTTAAGTCTTCAAATTTCTTGTTCATATACAGGATGTGAAGAGGTGTATTGAGGCTCTTGATGAGCTTGCATCCCTTCAAGTCACAATGCAACAAGCTCAGAAACATACAGAGATGATTCTGACTCTAAAGAAGGTGAGATCTGCAACGTTAGTCAAAGTCACCTGTGTGTTTTCTTAAATTGGTGTCAGTGTTACTTACTACTAGAGTACTATGTCCAGTTCTGGTCCCTACAATTCAAAAATGATACAGACTGACTGGAGCGGGTCCAAAGGAGGGCCATGAATGTGATCAACAAAGGGCTGGAGAGCTGGCCCTATAAGGAAGGACTGAAGGAGTTAGGTGTTTTCTTCCTGGAGGAGTCTCAAGTGGGACCTCATCACACTATTCCAGCACTTAAAGGGCAGCTACAAAGAGGATGGAAGTGCTCTCTTCACAAGGAACCACCTGGAGAAGACAAGGGGCAGTGGGTACAGGTTGCACCAGCAGAGGTTTCATCTCTATATAAAAAAGAAATTTTTTTACAGTGAGAACAATCATTCACTGGAACAGCCTCCCCAGGGATGTGGTAGAGTCCCCACCACTGGAGGTTTTCAAGATGCGATTGGACAGGGTTCTCAATAATCTTATCCAGGCTCCCTTTCCCGTGAAGGGTAGGACCAGATGATCTTTCGTGGTCCCTTCCAACCTCGGCTGTTCTGTGATTCTGTGATACTTCAGAGAGTGTAAAAGTCTCTTTTCTCATTTCAGGTTAAATTATGAATTTAATCTAGCATGTGATGAAATTACATAGGTATTTAAATACCTAAGTGGAGCTCATTGTTTTATTACTTTGATTTCAGATACGGAAATTCAAAGTTAGCCAAATTATCATGGAGAAATCTACAATGCTGTATAACAAGTTCAAGACCATGTTTCTGGTTGGGGAAGGAGATTCAGTTCTTTCCCAAGTACTAAATAAATCACTTGCTGAGCAGAAGCAGCACGAGGAAGCCAACAAAACCAAAGAACAGTGGAAGAAAGGAGCAAACAAAAAAATGGAAAAGGACCAAACAGGTAAGTTACTGCGTTTTTAGTCTTGTCATGTAAAAAAGACCTAGTCTCCATCAATTTCTAGCCAGCTTCAAAAAATTCTTGATGTAGGAATTCTACCCATTTATTACAGCCTTTACATATCTGATATAGTCAGGGATAATACTGCTATAACTTAAGTTTCAAGTTCAAGGGTATAATGTTTTCCGTGGCTACTTTAACTTTATGGCCTGAAGGGAGGGGCTTTTGCAAGAATTGAGTTTAGCATTCTTTACTTCTCTGTAAACTATCTAACTTTTATTACTTTATGGAATAAGAAAACATTAAACATGAGGTAGAATAACACACTACCTTCCATTCCTTAAGTAGCCTTTTGATGCCTAGATTTCCACCTATGCTTTAACTGCTTAATTTCCTTCACTAGCCTCTTCCTATATCATGCATGCTACTATGTGTAGCAGCAGCTTTTAACCACTTACATGCTACTTTTGTGATGTAACTCTAGTAGTTCCATCTAATAGTAAAGATGTAATCATAATTTAAGAGAGAATAGGCCTTTATGCTCCTAGCAATACTATTCCAGATTAATCATGAGTGCTTGTACAACTACAGCATGATATGAAAGCTTTCCACAGTAAGCATGCTCTATAATAACTTAGGTCAGTTATTTAAAAAAAGAAAAAAAAAGAAAGTAGTGTAGTAAAATAGATACTTGCATTTTTAAATAGAGGAACAAAATGAGACACAGACACTGGAAAGCTGTGTTGCAAATGAATTTAAAACCTCAAAGATGCAGGAGTTCCACTCATCTATTAAAATTATATAGATCCTTGATCTCTACAAGCACTGGAGAGAAATTCTGTTTACTTTGAACTTTAATCCTGGAGGCAAAACTGTTTCAGAAGACTCAAAGTTACATGACCCGGATCTGGAATAAAGAAGTTACTGTAACTGAGGTGATTGAAGATGCCAAGAATTCAAAATAACTGTAGTTGAAATGCTACTGTATTTGTAACTGCTAAGAAAGCAAGGATGATAATAAAATCCAACCATTTTATGGTGGGAGAAGCATGTATGATGTAGTAGAGGTTCCATGCAGATCTTTCCCCAACCCTGTGACCAGCACAGCTAATACTTTAACAAAGAATCTAAACAGAAAGGCTTCCTACGCATAGTCTGACTAATGAAGCTACTCTGGATAAGGTTAACCTGAGAATTCCAACAGAACACACTGAAATATCATATTGTCGCCTAGTCAAATGGAAAATGGTAGGGAGTTTTATCAAGAGTAGGGGGATATTTCATGGAAGTGGATTTTCCTTTTTTTTCTATTAAAAGAAATTCTGGTTCCTTACGTTCATACTTCTGCCTTTTCAAAAACTGAACTGCTGAACTCTTACTATCTTTACGAAGTACAAAAATTACAGCAGTTTGTGTTTCAGCTGAAGTACAGCTTCAGACTATCTACTTTTTAATAAGAGAGTATAGCATTCATTGTTTTATTGAATTCCTCCCATGGCATTCAAGTTCAGAACTGATTCTGAGCAAGTCTAAATAGATCAACTACTAGAACGTCATCTTAAATGATCTTGTCTGCTTTTTAGCAACTCTCAGTCTATTTAGATGAGTAATTTATTTTCTTTTCCTGTAGCATAGTAGTTTAATAGAGAGATTTTTGGTAAACCTGTAACATCAAATAAAATGGACTGTCACTTCTGCCTTTAGGTGACATTCCTCAACAATTCACTCAAAATTCAGTGGCTTGTAATACCAGAGCAAAACCTGTATTCATCACCAAAGTTTTAAGGAGGTTAAATATTCCTGCTTTGACTTCAATAAATACAGCTTCTACATAGTGCTTTGTTTTCCTGCTTGACAATTGCATGCTATAACTAAACAAATTTACTCCATTTATATATACTGTTTGTCATATTTTCATTATATACATATTTGTTAGAGTTGAGAGTCGGCCAGACTCAATGGAATTAATAACTTCTCCAGTGAAAGTATCGGAAATCCTCCAAAATTGTCTGACCAGGTTAGAGAGCTGAAGTATATTCTTACTGCTCAAAATATAAATAAGCATTAGCCCTATTATCTGTAGTTTAGCAAGCACAGGAAGAACTCAAAATGGCATGGAATATATACACTGTTCATTTCCCATTATTAAAATTGTGGGGTGAGGCTCACTGCATGGAATTTTCGGAAGTTGAAGCTGTATCAGTTACTGCTTTTTGTATTGTTTCAGCTGCAGGCTATCAAGGTGAGGGGAAAACATTCATAGTATTTGAGTTGATGAAGGTAAAGAAATTATCTGGGGCTTTTTATAGCACAGTTTTGCTGCCTGCAGTACTGTTTTCTTTCCCTGCCCTTTCATTTTAAAGGTTCAAAGGTTCTGAATGGAGGGGCTGAACCTCAAGACACCAACCCGTCACAGCACAATGAAGAGAACACTGAGGAAAAGAAAGATAGGCATGAAGTTGGCAGTAAGAAAAAGTGAGTTAATAAACTTACTGAGCTACAGATGTGTTCTGCTCTAGCAAAATGATGTGAAATAGAACAGCAGTAGATTGAAGTTAATTAACCATGTTGAGGTACTGTTTTCTTTAGAGAGTTTTCTTTCAACTTTAAAGAATATTAATAGCATGCAAATCTTCTCTTAAAGTTTTGAATGAGCATTTTAAAAGTTACTTCACTCACTGCTGTGGTGGAGACTTAAAAGAAAAAAATTACAGGATGTCCTCTTAGGAGAAAATCACCATGTGGTGAGACAGGGCAAAGTGTAAGCTTTCTCCTGTGTTTTAGACTACTCGATGCTATTAAGTTGGAAGCAAAGGGAGCCTCAACCAAGTCTTACAGAAACTAATGGGATTGATCAAGTTTTTTGTGAAATCATGTATTCTAATCAATACCCAAGCCACTTTAATTAGTGTTCTATAGTGTAGCTACAGACTTGCCCAAATGCAGGTAAACTGCAGGCTAGAACTTAGACCTGTGACATTTCAGAACTCTGAATGTCTTATAGAGGTTCCAAACAAGAAGCCACAAGAATGCTTGAATTTGTCAGTAGGTGAGTATTTAAACCTTAGCCTCACTGAAAAATGCTGTCTTGTAAACAAGAACAAGCAGCAGTGAATCTCTTGTAGAATATGAGAAATACTTAATAGAATTTAGTAAACAATGAGGAAAAGGCCTAGAATTATCCTTGAGCTGAGTTGTTTGGTTGAAGTACCACTTTGTTTTCTCTGAGCACTTCTGCACCTTGTGCTCAGGGATTTTTTTTGTCCAGTGTTATGTAGAGAAGCTTTCCTTTCACCACTGTCTTCATGCAGGCCAGGAGTTGCCTGGCATTCTTTTGGCTGTCTGCCAAGTTAAAACTGTACAGATGAGTGGAATATTGACTCATTTACAATAAGGTAAACTTAGAACAAAACCAGAAAATGCCTTAAGATGAAAATGAATTTGATACTTCCTGAGAGGTAGCCTAGCTTCTGAATATACAGCTTTCAGAAGTGACACTTGGGAGTTTTCAGCTGCTGATGCCAAATATTCACTTAGTCTGAACACGCAGCATGTTACAGGAACATAGTGACGGCACAACCGTAGGCTCCTAACAGAGGTTACGCAGCCTAGCACACTGCTTCAATAGGCGATTTGGTCAGTAGCAAAGTGCAACACCGGAGTTACCTGAAACAAAGAGCAAGGCAGTTCAGTAATACTAGAGTGTACTTGGCCAAGTATTTAAAAATAAATGACTACTAAACTGGTTCTCCAAGGTAGAATTTTTTCATGGTCTGCTCCTTTCCTTGTTCCTGCAGAACCTGACAACACTTGGATTTCTGACTCTCACTCAGTTATTTTTGTGATTAAAAGAATTAAGAGTATTTGGGTGCATGCACAACACCTCAATGGATATTAGTCAAAAGAAATTAAAGGTAGATACTTTAGATAGTTAGGCAACATGCCTGGAAAAGACTGTTGAATATAAAGAGTGTCTCAAAAAAGCAACTTTGAGGCAAGACAATTTATATTTTTAATACTTCAGTAACTGTGACTGTATGTGTAAAACTTGAAAATAAATATTCCATGAATGAGCTAGTGGGGATGTTATGTTCTGCTAATAAACTTATATCTCTTTAAGTGTGTGTGGTGTTTGCTATGGCCTTGAACTCTACACTCCAACATGTTCTTTGACTTACCTGAACCAAGAAACAAACCCCCTTTATTAAACAACTTGTATGGCTACTTGGGAGCAGTTTCTGTGGACTTGTTAGCCAACAGCTATAAACCAGATTTTGTAACACATCTTGGAAATACCATGCATCCACATACCTGTTCTTAATTCAAGCAAGCTACAGACTGGTGTCTCTCAATCATACAAACTTCCTTTCATTCAGTACTTTTCATACATTTTTATCTGCAATATTCAGTTTCTTAGAAGTGAGAAACTAGTAAGCAAAATAAATCTGAACAAATCATCAATGTTCAAAACAGCCCTGCACTTCCCACTACTGCCTCTAAGCAAATAACCTTTAATCACAGGGCTGTCTATTCAGTTCTGAACTTCAATCCCTTTGATAATGAAAGGCAAGACATGTCTGTACCTTTCTGAAGATGTACTGCAGAAATTTTGGAAGACGGGAGTTGTGTAACTTCATACTTCTGAAGTGATTGGCACTTGAGAACTTCTCATCTTTCTGTTCTCATTTAGTAAAAACATATACTGCTTCCTGAGGTTACCTTAGAGCATGGGACACATAATGGGTTATTCTTGATCACTCAGAAAAGTTAGAATTGGTGAGGTATGTTAAGCCAGAGTGGTTTCCCACATCAGCTGATGTGTATTGGGCAGCAGGCTAGGGAGGACTGCCTAAGTGGAGCACAAACTGACTTCTGAAGGACTGCCATTCACAGCCGGTCACATGCATTAATGGGATGTTAATCACCACCAGCTTAGCTTCACATTTGGGGGCAGTCAGTGTAAGAGAGAAGACGGACAGTTGGCATCACTACCTGCTTCAGTTCTCCAGGCTTCACGTACTGCTGAACGTACATCAGCACCGCTTACTCTAGACTGTACAAATTCATCTGGAATAAGTCTTGCTCTCTGCATTTTTGTATTGGTCATTAATGTTGCTTTATTTTGTTTCTAGGACATGTGGTGAAGAGAGTGAGATTGAAAAGCCAGCAAAAGATCCTGCCTTTGAAAGCAAATGATACCACTGGAGTCTTTTTTTTTTAAATACAAATTAAAGAGGTTGTTAAGTTTTGCATTTGAAATCTATAGCCTGCTGAAAGTTTTAAATAATTTTATAAGCATAGTATTTTAAAGTTACATTTTGTGGAATAAAAGCCCCTTTAATCTTGGTTTAAAAGTATTTAAACACTTTTGCCAATAGTTTTGTCCAGTATTAACAGATAACACATTTCAAAAGATGAAAATTCCAGTTACAGAACAAATGCTTACATGTTACAGGACTTATAGAGTTGTAGTATATTTTTACCTGACTACTGTCCGTTTGTCTAGCTAATAGCAGGAAAAAGTGCAAATACTTCTAACTGCCCAATTGCTTCATTTGTATAAAACCTACCCTCTTCCTATGATACTGACTTCTTGTTTGTGCATAGTTTTTCAACTCTTGTGGGGATGTCTTTTCACTGTGTTTTGTAGGAGTTGGAAGCAGCACTTTTATAGCTGTTAAAATGTTAATGTACAAGTATACTTAATCACTTTTTAAAGACAAGTTTAGTTCTGTTCTTGCAAAACTCTTTGTGCCAATTTACTGCAATGTGACTTTACAGTATGCTTTTGGTATAATAAGTATACTAGAAAGAAACATGGTGTTCCCACAGAACCTGTTGATGCACACTGGTTGGAAAACACTGACTGGAACAATCTATAAAATTAAAGAATTTAAACTGATAAGAGAGACTGGTTCTTAATACTAACTTGTATAGAAAAAAGCATTCAAAGGAACAAGTAGTGTCTGGTTTTAGTACTTTTTCGATTTTATTGCCTTGGCATTAACTTGGGGATTTCTAACTTGAAGTTTAACAGAAACACTGGTAAGGTATTTTAAGAAAAATTCCTAAAGGCATTAAAGGGAATGAAACAGGTACAAGCTCCTCTCAAAATTCTTTCTTGAAACACACTGCACCTAACAACTTGCATGTGACTGGAAAATGGTATTTGACAGAGGCCAGCCAGGTTAGAAATTAGAGTTTAATAGTCCAAAGAATCCTGTTAGGGAATATCAGGGAAGGTGACAGTGTTCTGTGTGTTTGTATCACCTTGTATTGTGCCACCTTCAAGGCAGCAACAGAAAAGCACAATGATAGCCTGGTGCAGACTGGTACTTCTGAAGCTTTAACTCACAGCATTCAACAAGGAAAGGTTTTCAGTATTTCAGCATGACCAAACCAGCATGGTATCAAATATTGAGAAGTCACATGATTTCTGGTTTATGTGCCTTGTAAATTGCTGCCACGGCTTCTTCAGTCAGCCCATCTGGGGTTTTTGTTTTCTCTTGTTCGTACCCAGGGTAGTATGGAGAAAAGAGACTGCTCATATATAAACCAAGGCATACAGCTTTTCCCCATTTCAAGTTCAACAACTTAGTACAAGCTTGACTTTTGTTTGCAGTTATGCTCTTAAGAGTCATGCTAAGCAGCTAAATATTCAGAAATGGGAAAAAGCAACTTCAACACTATGTCATGACCAGGTGAAGGTCAGTAACTTCAGCACTGCTTTCAAATTTCCGTGTTTTTCAGAATGTGAGTGTGACAGATTTATCTTGACAATAATGCTTTTTTTTCACTGAAATAATGCACTACTATGAAGTAACTCATCCTTTCTCTCCATCTCCCAGTTCTGAAGAGATTAAAACTTTTTTGCCCCAGCACTGCCTTTTTGCTGTTTTTTTTTTTTTTTTAACTTCCTTCTTCCTAACAGACTAGAATAGTAAACTGCATAAATACGTATAATCACTTGTATGGTTTAAGTAACAACAAAAAAATGCTCACTAGTGACCAGAGGCACAGAAAAAAGCATGAAAAGCCAGAGATCAGAACTCAAGTATCATCTTGATACCCATTGCAGAAGCAGTACTACAGTTATTGTGTTCAAAACTGCTATTCAGTCACCTCTGCTAGTCTGCAGTAATTTTTTTATGTAACTTTGCCAGAATCCATCACACTGAATGGTGTTTTTCCCTGCTAAATGTGCCACTCCTTCAGAGACCATGTGTGCGACATGCAGTCACCACAGAAGCTGCTGCTAACGCCTGTTTGAAGTAGTCTGACTAAATTTTAACTGTCAGTTTACACAGTGGTTGATGTTAACTGCTTCTGTAGGTTATCCTTAAGCAGAACCCATTGCGTTTATTTTTGGTCTCAATAATCTGTAAACTAGCTGTAATGTTAAGATGAGGCAAGATAATAGGTTTGATAATGTGGAAAAGCCAACAGAAGAGTATCTCAACATTCAACAACACTGTTCACCAGCTGAATTTATGGAGCCTGTTTTACTGCATTTGTACAGCAGACTTCTTAATATTAGAATACACTGTGTGCTTTGTAAAGACTTCTTCGGTATTTTTATAGATGCAAGCGTATTTTTTATCATTCCCTATTACTCTGCTGTCATTTATGTCAATCAATAGAAGCACATGCACATGTATGCATCTGTACCAATCTTAAAAACATGGTTTGTGTACATTTACAAAATGGTACTATTTCCGCTCTACCTTCCTATCCAAAGTTGCAAGCAGCCTAAAACTTTCTAGTCTCTCTTCACAGCTGTTATTAATCAAAGGTGGAAGAGTACAGCCTAGGGAAGGTCTCCATGTTGCTGCTCAAAGCAGCACACTCATAAATCACTTTTTGCACCAAACACAGTGGCACTCAGTTACAGGAGCACTTCGTAGTAACACACTGGCTGCCTTGGGAAATTAAAGCACCAAGCTACAGGCATTTAGAAAGGTTAATGATTAAATATTGAAGCCTGTATTTTACTGGAAGTTAAAACTCAGCATGGAAAGTTGTTTTAGTTAGCAGCAATACAGAGATTGTGAATACAGCCATCTCCCACACAAAGGTAAAAACCATGTAAGTAGTTACTAAATGCTAAAATTGCTTGCAAACCTTTTCATGTGCATAGTGACTATCTAATTGTGCAAAGAAATGGAAGGTGTTTATATAGCAAAACTGAGTACCTTTCAGATCTTGAAGGCAGTACCTCAAGTTAAACCTGGAAGATCAATAGCCGTGGCAGCTCCCAGTATGAAATTGTCCTCAGCAGATGGCCATGATGTTTTGCCTCCACAGATCTGGAGTTTTGGCAGTCTCTAGCCTGTCACAGGACTGCTGCTAAGGGGAGAGACTAACATGGCCATACAGCTAGGTCCTCAGACAGCAGCGTTCCCATTCAGCTTCCAAATACAGAAGTTACTGTACACTGGATGCTGCGTATTTCTCCATACAGCCAGTCATGAGATGTATTTTATTGCCTTAGGAAACTAAAACTTCCACTTTCACCCTCAAAAGTGTTTCTGTAGAGATCAACTCCAAATAAATGGGAATTCTCACACAGGCACATCCCAATTTTGACCATTCCTTTGTATGAAAACCCCTTTTACCAAAAAAAGAGGTACTGTGAATTCAACAAGTATGCCAAATCCACCTTGTCTTCACTTAAGTGTCAATGAGCTAACATATCTGTCTTTCACAACTGTTTCAGAGATAATGGGTCAACCATTCCACTACTTCAAAGAGTTAATGTGAGATGTACACAGAGATGAAGCTCCTGATTGTATGCTGCAAGTCACTGAAGTCATGCTCTATCCATTCAGCTGCTTGGGCTTTTGCTGCCTGAATTTACTGCCCATTTACAAACCAGAAGTAACCTAAATTCACAGAATCTCACTGACTGCAGAAATGGTCATCTCACCTTCCAAGATGCCGGAGTGTCCATGAGCCGTGTCTCTTGAAAGATACAAATATAATTTCTGAGATCTGAGAACTGACTAGGCACTCAAACTTAAGTCTCCCAAGGCATGAGGCCGATTCTTTTTGCCAAAAGGAAATAAACTACAGTTAATGCACAAAATTTAAAGTGGAGTTAGCTTTCACAGTAGCATCCCTATTTCAACAGCCAAGTTTACTACAGCTTAAAATACCGTGCAGCACTGTTGAGTTGCTCATCATTCAAGTGCACAGGGGGCTGTTGTGATTATGTTGCAAGTGCCCAGCTAGCAGTGGAAAGTGACACTGTCTGGATGAATCACATTTTCCTTTGGAACTTTACACCAACAGTAAAATCAGAGGGGCATCTCCTCTTCCTCAAGAAACAGCACTCTGTATCGCTGCCATGTCAGCAAGGCAAAAACTTTCATTAGGGAGAGATTCTCCAAGACCTTTTGAAGTTTGAAGTAATAAAGGTTCATACTGCCAAATCACTAAGCATTTAAAAAAGATCAAAGCAAAAAGCCAACCACAGATTCAGGTTAGTGCTTTTTAGATTCAACAGATTCAACTACAGTTTTTAATACTCTAGCCTTTTTGCTTCCCCCAGTAAGTACAGACACAAATCTTCACATGTGAGCAGGCAGGACACCCTTAAATTTTCAGTTAAATATAACCCAAATGATCTCCAAGTTCCATACCCTTATATTAAGTTTATTATAACAATGGATTTATGAGAAAAATTATTTTCTCATTTTTTCATCATAAAGTAATAAACCTGCTTGGAACTTTTGCTCACTGAAACACTAACAGCAATTAACAAGTAGCCAAAACAAACTCCTATGAAACCAGCTGGATAGTTGTAACTACGAATGGGCAGCTGGGTGCAAAGCTGGATTTCACTCAGAGGTCTCATTCAGAATGACACATTAAATCAAGACTAGACCCAGCTGTCCTGTGACAGCTCCTGGGAAGTAAAGTATCTTTAAAAACTATGATTTAGGGTAACCTTTTTGTTCTATTTGTCATTTAAGTTGAATCATTCAATATGAAATAGGACCAGAACATACAAACATCAGCTTCTAATAAGAGTTGTTCTCTGTTTTGTAGTTAAGCACAGGATGCACCCAACTTCCACACCCAGACTGTGGCCAGCTTCTCTTTGCCTTATTGGAAGTATGGGACTGGCCCCAGCAAAATTTCTTCATCTGCAAGGACAGCAACTTTGAAATATATTTGACTGTAACTTTTTACTGGAAAGAAGGTAAATAAGCTGGGTGAAAGACAGCATACTGAGGCAGAATTAGCTTAATGAAAGAATAAATTCACATTTTTGCCACTCCCATCTCCCTACTGCTAAAGAAAGGAAA